ACAAGTAACTACCTCGTCATCTTTGAGCGCACCTAATGATTTCACATTAAGGATATGATAACTTTTGTCGATTTTCAGCGACGAAGGCGATTTTCCATTGAGCAGAAAAATACGAAATTTAGATATAACGAAAATCCTTGGCTCAAATTTGTCTCCTTTGTAGGACACTTCAGACTGTAAGGCCACACGATAGTCGAAAAACTTGTTACCAAGCACAGCTGATGGCTTTTCTGAAAAAAAAAGATTACTAAGTGAAATAGAAGCTCTAGTGTAAGGTGTTTATAAATGAGAGATCTAATTCTGAAAGATAACCCAACGTTTAACCTCTGACCTTGGCATGAACCTAAAAAGAAACCCGTCCAGGTAACTAGTAGGTTTCATCGTTTTTCTCTGCGAAATTTGACGCTTCTAACCTACATTTGCTTTTAACTACATTTAAAAGCTCATTATTCTTGCATGTATTATAGTGTATGGTTTTCTCATATTCGATGTAGATAAGTACTGACCAAAGAACAGAAACGTGTGATATCGTATTTCCAATGGGAATGTGTATGCAAGGCCAAAAACTACCAACTATGAAGGCCTGGAAAGGAAAAATTGTATAGTCATCGGCCAAGGAATGGTTTGACATATTCAGAACAGAGAAGATTTGATTGATCAGCTAAAAGAGGCCTGTTCGCTTAGAGTTGATCGCAAAACAGTCATTAAAAGAATGCAAAAAGAGCCGTGAATGAGCTGTTAAATGTTGGCTAGTCTGCTCAAATTGTATTGATTCAAAATTTGACTTTTCGACCACTGACTCCTTTTTGGTTGAATCCATTTGTTTGAAAAAGGCACAAAAATACATACATATAACTATGAAGCACAAGCATTTTCAAATAATCAGGACTTGGGGCAGATGCTACTTCCCAAGGGAGAAAGAGAAAAACCCTTCATTTTCTGTTTACTCAGCCAGTACTGTCCCAAGTAAAGACATAAATGTAAGATATGTATGGTGTAAAACAAAAAGTAGGCCGGAATAAAAGAAACTGTTACATCAAAAACAAATAAATTCGGAAAGATTTTCATCCCTGCCTTGGGAAAAGATTATCATATGGCCACTGACTATTTTATGACTAACTGCTTCTAAATTCAGGTCATGCTACAAATCCTAGAGGGTCTTCATAAGCATAAGATAATTATTGAAAAGAAAAAAAAACTGCCGGATCCATGCATGGTGAGACACATCTGCACCCGTGCGAGCTTCCTGCGAGGGATCATTTAAGGGAAATTATTTGCGGAACTGCCATAGTTTTACACAAAATGGTTACCAATCCGCTCGCCACAAATTTGCAAGTGTCTGCCACGAGTTTGACACTGTTGCATCAAAAATTGCCTAGGATCGCGGGTCAAGTTTGGACTGGGTAGAGGATGAGACACTCCATAAGGGGAACGTCCATGAGGGGTTGACCATGAGAAACTCCGTCCATAGTGAGCAGGGCCTACGTCCAAATAAGCGACTGGCAAAGAAATTGTCCGATTCGGCTCCATACCATCCCAGTGACCAGGAAAAATGGGGCCTAGGTAGGGCATACGCCACTCACACATAAGCCGTGGGAAACTCCGCCCACAGTGGGCGGGACGTGCGTCCAAATAGGCGATTCCGGCAACAAAGTCGTCGTCCATTCGGTTCCCGAACATCCCAGAGAGAGGAAAAATGAGGGATGAAAAGAGTAAATCTAAAACATCTAAACCTTGCGAAAGGGACACATATGTCCAGCCAAATGCTATTTCTTTGGTGATGAAAGGTCCTAGGTTTTTTCGAGAAAGGGGACAGCTCTGACAAAGGATGGATGCTTGCTCAGAGGGCTCTCCCGCATCACTATACAAGAACTACTGTGCAAAAATCTGGCATCTTTTTTCAAGAGAGTTTTCGTCCTTGAAAAAATATCATACGACTCTGAGGCTTCCATTGTTGGCAGTCGTATTGTGTTGAAATTTTCCACGGACGAGAAGCGCCTAATCATCCCTAACTCTGTCGGATTACGATTACAAGTCGCGTTTGATAAGATAGGAGCAACACGCCAAAAAAGGACCACAAACTGGTGCGAAAAGACTGAAACAGTTGGTCAGTGAAGTATGTATAATACAAATAACCTTTTATGCGGAGGTGGCCAAGACATATTCCTTTAGGGAATGCATCCAAAGAAATTAGATTAAGGTACATAAAAACTTGCACTTACGTTGAATGTACTCGCATAATTCTTGCTGAATACTTCTTGACATAGACATAATAGCAGATTTGGGTGGATAAATCCGTAATTGATGTCACATAGGAATCAAGGCAACAGACAGACACAATCTTGCACTTCTGTAACTGCGAACAAGATAAGAACAACAAACAATCGATCATAGAACTATTCACACAAGGCTACACGTGTTCTTTTCCACAAAACCATGAGAGCAGAAAGAGGTTCTCCAAAGGACCAAAGAGTTTTGAGATCACTATCAGAGGGATCGATTTCCTCGCAGATTGACCGGCTAAAATCGTACTTGGATCGCGCGCCGACGGTTTCAACTTGTTCGTGCGTTTTTTCAGGGCCTCATTTTCTCAGGGAAAAAGTGCAAAGTCTCTTTGAAAAACTGATCCCAACGTTGTAACATAGTGATGACTCATAGGCGCTATTACATTGTGAGTCAAGCTTGAGGATATTTTGAGAGAACTGAAAGAGAAGTATTTTTCTGATTTAATGATGAATAGCGAACATTTGGAGCCCTATTCTGGCATA